AAACAGTTCACGGCGACTAGGATGGCCTAGTTATATGCCCAAAGATGAGAAAAGTTGTTGTGCCCTCTGTTTGTGTATACCTCTTGGCTGGGCTAGACATGTTCCATAAGTTTGGGTGGTCTAGCCTTATGCCCTAGGTAAGCTGGATATAAGGGATAAATCATTGAAAGACTACGAACTATTGGTTGCTAAGGTAACTTGGGGATGGTGAGAGAGTGCATGTCTGTGGTTTGGCTTGCATGTGACTGAGTGATGCCACTTCTTAGTCTGAACTTGGATTTGATAGGTAGTTTGCTCGCCACGTGCTAGAGCCGTAGGAGTTGGAATCATTTCTTGCATTTTTTGGGCTCGTTTTTTTTACTTAGATCCATTTCTGCAGTTCTGGGATCCTTTATTTATACTTGGTCTTGTATAAATCTTGGTAAGTTACTTTCTCTACGGGAAGCGCTGCCGAAATTTCTACAATATCAAGGAGTTCGTCAAAACTTTGACTCTTTCAGGATCCAGACTTGATGACTTCTTTGACTAGTAAGAATCTGGGGAGCCTGCTTTCCTAAAGGAGGTGCTGCCCAAATTTTTACTAATTCATGGAGTTAGCCAAAACTGGGCCCTGAAGGGCCAAAGTCATTATCAGGTCCCAAAACTTGGCCTTGTATAAATCTTGGACTAGCACTTTCCCTACGGGAAGAGCTGCCGAAATTTCTACAAAGCTAAGAAGTTGGTTGAGGTTTTATCGTGACAAGACCTAGACGTTATGTCTAAGTTCAAGTCTGACTTAGTATAGATCTGGGGGGCCTTCCTCTCTGAAGGAAATGCTACCCACATTTCTGCTAGGTCAAGGAGTTAAACAAATTTTGACTTTCTCGAATCCAAAGATTTGGCTTTTGGACTAGTATATTTTCTGCGATGTCACTTTTCCTACGGGAAGCGCTGCCAAAATTTTCCTAAGTTAGAGGAGTCAGCCTATTTGGACAAGTGGCGACCTATGTAGGGGAGGCTATGGCAAGGTCCCCCTTACGCTGAGTGCTATCTAGAGGTGGACCTAGACTTGGTTAGATATGACGGCTCAGGATAGGCAATTTGGGTATGGGCACCACATAATGCGCCTGAGCATCGGAAGTAACCGCATGGCTCAGGATAGGCAATTTGGGTATGGGCACCACATAATGCGCCGTCATCGCAGTTACTCACGTAGAGCTGCATAGTGAATTAGTATGCATGGATCCTACGTTCGAGCGATCTTATACTAAACCTTGCGTATGGCAGTTACCGACTTCCACTGCATAAAGTTATGGGTTGGATACAAAGGGACTAGGAGTGTGTCGCGTTGTACGTCCTTTGCGTCGTTCAGTACTTGTGTGCGTGTGTGCGTGTGTGTTACTTTTATGTACCTTATAATGGTGTGCGCGTGGCGTGTGGGATACGTCCTAGTCGACCGGTGACGAGCCGCGCTTGGGACCTCGGCCCCCCAAGATGTCGGTTTGCGTGCGGGTCCGATAGTGGCGTAGTACCGCGCCTACCCCTTATGCTACAGCGAACGAGAAACGCCCTCGGCTGGTCCACCTCTACGATTGCAGCTGGTCAGCTTTCGTACTGTGGACTGGTAGCTCGGCGGGGATACGCCCACCGAAGGGAGGTGACAGCTCCCGTAAGGTGGAGGTAGTCGTGCCTCGCGTAGGGGCTCGCGAGAGGTATGGCTGGCGCACCCGGTCGGAGCGGCTTACGGAAGCTCCGCGTATATACCACAAAGGGGATGTGTACCCTGACTTCTGCGTGACGCGGCCGGGAGGGTCCCGCGCAACCTCTGAGTGGTGTCGGGCCGATGCGCTCGACAGTGGGGCGCAGGCAGCCATAGCCGGGCTGCCGGGCGCCAGGGGGTACAGCGGATGATCAGGTGGTCTTCAGGGAAGGAGGCGCTGTGTGGGGTAATCAAGGTCTGATTGAGGGTGATGAGATACGTACCTGGTACATGAAGAGAGGTCGGCGATGGTGTTGGCAGTCATGTACATTGGTCTTTGTGAGTCGAAGTGATCCTGTTGTGTGAACCAGCTGTAGGTAGGATAGTTTGGTGGAGTAGGCTGGGCGCTGAGCCGTAGACAGAGCAGAGCGACTTTGGATACTGTGTTGGTGTGGCCTACGGGCTTGAACATTGGTTCATTACTTCATTGTATTGCTCTATATGGATGGTTTTCTCGGCCCATTTGTACTCTCTGCTTGGGCCACGACTACTTGAACAGTTGTCCGATTTCGCAACTTGGTTTTATGGATGTCGCTCACACTCATATTCCTTGCAATTGATTGATTGATTAATTAGGTTAATTAGTCCCCAAAATCGTGAATTTTGACCTAACTGTCGAAAATCGATTTTTTTTTTCTTTCAGAATTTTTTTTTCTTTAGCGCAAATTCGTTTGTTGACTCACAGCTTCCGAAATAGCGCATCATATGAAATTTTCGATTCTCATTTTGTCTGAATTTCAAAATTTCAGTTGTTGTGCAAGGAAAATAAGCAAAACAGCGAGATGACAAATCCAGATTACACCATCACATTAAAAGCCAGATAGTCACACTGTGTCCAGAGAGCAGCATTGCACCAATCATACACCAATGGAGGTTCGTAGTACTGAAAACCAATGTCATGGAGAGCTTTCTCTCTCCTTCAACAACACAAGAGTCCAGTCCCTTCACACTCCTACTTGGCGCTCAGCGCCCAGCCTACTCCTACACAGCTACAATCAGCCTAATAATAGACAATGCAACTGTTGACATCAACGGCAACCCGAAGTTCTTCAAGATGTCGCCCGTATGCTGACCATCGCCAATAGAAGGTAAGTGCCCTCACATCATCATCATCATCATCCTTTGCCCTTCCCTGACTTAACACCCACACTTGTCCTCTCTTGCACCCGAAGACCACCCCTGCGCCTCACTGTGTATCCAAGCCGAGCCCGCTATGGAGGCTGGCTATGGCGCTGCCCTCAGCAGCGCCCTGCTCCCACACACAACCGCACATGCGCAGCCTCTTGCTCCAATGCCGGCAGCCAGCCCGCGAGCAATCGCTCCAGCAGCGCTGCCGCCAGCCAGCAAGTGACCGAATGCCCTGCCAGCGGAGAGCTTTTTCCTTTATGGAAAGAGCTGGCCTGCTTGCCCTGCCTGGCTGCCCTGGCCTGGGCCCAAAAGCTTCCGGAAGGCCCCAGGAGGCTGTCTCTGTACAGCAGCTACTGGGCTGCTGGGCCTCGTTCGGTTGGGCGCCCAACTGTCTCTGTATGAGGCTGCAATCACGCCCAGGGCCTGCATTCTTTGGAAAAGCCCAGAGGGCCGTGGAAATGTCTTTGTGGCCCAGCCTGAGTTTTTCTCAACCATCTGGCGCGTCGCAACTGCCTTGACCCCAAATACGAAATTGACAGTAGGGGGCCCCTTGCGATATGTCAGGCCCGCCTTCACTTAGGGCGGGCACCTCCGCCTTCACTTAGGGCGGGCACCGCCGCCTTCACTTAGGGCGGGCAATGCTGCAAACAGGGCCCCTTAGGCCTACCGAGGACCTTCATCCTCGGATTCCCTCCTCCTTTATTTCGTTAGTCCTCTGAGAAGTCTCTAACTCTGCATGGATCTTCCCTTTTCGTTCTCTTTCATAGCCTGCAATCACTTGAGGTGCTGTTCTCATGAGTTCCTCTCGTGTGAACCAGCGATCTTCCTTGGGATCGAGGTGATGTCTGAAGCTCACACGATACTGCATTCTCGGTTTAGGAGGGCGCCCCCTGCCTGATGGTCGAGGAACATGCATCATTCGATGCTCCACAATTTGATCGATGTCCACCTCGCCGTCCATGGTTGGGGGCAGCATTGATCTTCTTGAAGGAAACTGCTTCGTAGTAGCGAAAGGTGTCAACTTGGAAGCATGGAACACAGAGTAAGTGCGTAGGTGTGCAGGAATACGGATCACGTATGAAGGCCCATCTGGTTGATCCCCTACAATGTCCAAGATCTCCCAGGGCCCAAAATATTGTGGCATTAGTTTTCTGGATATTCCCATCTCCTGACCTAGTTCAGATGACTTTACCCAGACTCTATCACCTACCTGAAAGTTAGAGGGCCGTCTATGCTTATTCTCAGATGCGATCATAGCATCCTGAGACTTCCTAATATGTTCAACGGCCTGCTGCAGCATCTGTTCATATTTGACAGCAAAATCTATGCTTCCAGGTGTTGCAGTGGGTTGTCTTTCTGGTAGCAGAAAGTCAAGTGCAGTTCTGGGCTTCCAACCAAGATGTAACTGGTTGGGAGTCATATCGGTAGCACTATGCACAACATTGTTGTACAGGCTGGTGACGAGTGGTAACTTCTCGTCCCAGTCATCCTGACTTGGCTTAATATAATGTCTAAGCAGGTGCTGTACTACTCGATTCATCCGTTCTGCCTGGCCATTTGACTCAGGGTGATTCCCTGAGGTCATTTGGAGTTTTGTGCCCATCTGTTCAGCGGTTGACTGCCACAGCTCACTTGTGAATCTCACATCCCTATCGCTAACGATAGATGTAGGCAAACCGAAATCACGTACCCAATTATCCATAAATAGTTTGATGACGTGGTCAATTTTAGCACTTTCAGGCATAGCGATTAGTCTGGCATACTTAGAAAAACGATCCACTATAACGAAGATGTGTCTCTTTCCAGACCTGCTGGTCACAAGGGTGTCCATAAAATCCATAGACACACTCTGACCTGGTCCTTCAGGAATTGGCAAGGGCTTAACCAGCCCAAGCGGTGCCTGAGTCCTTGGTTTGTCCCTTTGACAAACCTGGCAGGTTTCAGCATAGTGTTTTGCATCTAACATCATAGAGGGCCACCAGAATCTCTGTACTAAGTTCGCTGATGTCTTCTTGTATCCAAAATGACCAGTTGCATCATGGCATTCTCCTAAAAATAAACTACGCAAAGACTCACTACTGGGAACACAAAATCTTTCATTCCCTGCCTTTTCAAGAAACAACAAGCCGTCTACCATCGTAAATTCGTCAAAGTCTTTTTATCCTTTGCCTTGAATCTACAGATGATCTCAGACATAACTGGATCTTGCTGATAGGCGTCCACCAATAATCGAGTCAAATCGCTAGATATGCCAAACTCGGTCACTAGTGCGCCCAGATAATCCGCCCGGCGAGATAATGCATCAGCCACTTTGTTGTACTCTCCCTTGATTGGATCAAGTTGATAGTCATAAATGTCTATCACTTGAATCCAACGTTTCAATGCGTCAGAGAGTATTGGCTGTGTCTTAATCCAGCGCAAGGTCTCATGGTCAGATCTCACGTAGAAGAATCTGCCAAGGAGATAGTGTCTCCAATGTACCAGCGATCTGTACAGGGCATAGAGCTCACGCTCATAAGTGGACTTAGCTAGTTTCTGAGATGGCATCTTTTTGCTCATGTACTCGATAGGTCTCAACTTGGGCCCCTCCTTTTGCGCAAGGACTGCGCCTATGCCATATTGGTTGGCGTCTGTGGTCACGACAAATGGCTTATCAGGATCAGGAAGTTTAAGAACTCCATAATGTGTCAGGGCATACTTCAGTTTTCTGAAGGCTGCCTCACACTCTGCAGTCCACTCCCAAGGGGTGTCCAGTCGAGTTAGATCTGTCAATGGGGAAGCTATAGTACTATTGTTCTTCACAAACGGATGATAGTAGCCCGTCATCCCCAAAAACGATCTGACCTCAGTAACAGTCTGAGGTCTGGGCCAGTCACGTATGCTGGCCACCTTAGCATCATCCGACCTCAATCCATCTGCTGAGATTTCATGACCCAAGTACAAGACCTTGGTGCAACCAAATTTCTCCAAGTTAACCTTGTACTGGTGCTGTCTTAGGACACCTAGCACTGTTTTCAAGTGCTCAACGTGCTCCTCTACAGTCCTACTAAAGATGAGAATATCGTCGAGGTACATGAAGATAAACTTGTCTAAGTAGTCATGAAAAATCCTGTTCATCACGTGCTGGAACGTACCAGGTGCATTGCATAGTCCAAAGAGCACCACCACAAACTCGTACAGACCATACCTGGTCTGAAATGCGGTTTTGTGATGATCCTCAGGCCTAATAGCAATTTGATGGTATCCGGACTTCAGATCTATCTTGGTGAAGTACCGGCATCCCTGCACTCTACCCAAGAGGTCGTCGATGCGAGGTAGGGGCTCCGAGTTCTTAACGGTGATGGCATTGAGGCCCCTACAGTCAATGCACATCCTCAAGGTACCTCCCTTCTTCGGTACGAGTAGGACTGGAGCGCCGTAAGGGGAGGTACTTGGCCGAATCCATCCCTTCTATGTGAGCTCCTTGAGCTGGCGGCGAAGCTCATCTAACTCCGCAGGAGACATCCTATAGATTCGTCCTCTAGGCACCTTGCTATTTGGGACAACCTCTATTGCATGGACAACCTCCCTTTCCACCACGCCTGTGGGCTCCTCAAAAAGGTCTGAATATTGTACGACGACTAATTCTATCTCTGGGGGTGTTTTAACGGCCTCCCCTTTCTCAAAGACAAATACTAGATACATGCCCTCCTCGCGATTCTGCTTGTAATAGTTATAGAAGGATGATGCACACATGCACCCGTAGTTTTCCATTAGACTGCTAGCTTTGAACTTTTGCAATCAAACAGATCTACCACTGGGCAATTTGTGAATCAATACCTTTCTGTCCTAGTCAAACTGCGGTTGCGCAACTTCGAGGTAGTACATACCTAGGAGCATATCAAAAGGCAGTTCGTCGCTAACCAGGAAAGAGATTTTATGGCTCACTTCCCCTCCTCCGTAGGAGAAGGTACAGACTACGTCCTTGACATAGTCTTTTACCAACATTTGGTGCTTGTTGGCCAGCGTAGAAGCTACAGTTCTGCTAAGCCGTTGCACTTGGTCCCCTAAGCGCATTCTATCCACACAAGCACGACTGATGAAATTTCGCGTAGAGCCTATGTCTGCGAAGGCGCCCACTTTTCGGCCACCTACATCAACTTCTACGACGAAATGTTCACCCTTTGGACCTCTACTTATCATCGCCCAAGAGTCCCTGGGGTCCTTCCCTGACCACTCAGTCTCTAACTCCTCTAGGGCCTCAGACACATCTCTCGAACAGAGCGTCGGTGGGTCCGAATGTGTCTGCGGGGCGATACGTGGGTCTCTAGCCTTGGCCAAGGCCTGAAGTGGGGAAGGCAACGTTACCACTTCAGAGCGAGTAAGAGCGGCTAATACTCCTACTGGCCCGAGGTGTTTCCCTGCGAAGTGCTCGTAGAAGCACCGCCAGAGTTCGAAGAAAGTCCCACCACCATTGGTGAGGCTACCCTCGTCAAGACTTTCTTGCCTCGGCACGTTCGAGACGTGTGGCCATAGTTGCCACAGTTCATGCACGTGCCCGTAGCAACTCGGTCCCTCCACACGTCATACTCAAAACCAAGTTTTACCCATGCGGGTGTTCCTTGGTCGCCCTGACCCGTGGACCGTACTACCTTCTTCTTCCCGGTCCCCCTAGCCTTTTCCTTGATGGGTGCCACGACTCCCCCATCCGAAGTCTCACTAGCCCCATCTTGCTCTGTCACCTCCCCAAGGTCTGGGAAATCGTCAATCTTCGTCGTTTGACCATCATGGTCAACGAGCATCAACTGACCCTTCTTCTTCCAGTCCTGGGGAAGTCTCTGCCTATCATCATGAGATGCCTGATGCGCGGATCCCAGCTTTGCCTCTATGTCCAAAGCTTTCTTACTAAAAGTAGCGAAGTTGTGCTGTTCGACATAGGCCTCATCAACCAGCTTGGTCCTTACCTCTGCAGATAGGCACCTTAGGTAATCCGTCAGGAGAACTTGCTGGTCATAACGCACACCAGGTACCACGAGTAAACATTCTACGGTGTCCGTTAGCTCTCTAACATTCTTGAACCTGCGGGAACAAAAACTGTTGATAGCATCGGTGGCCTTCTGAGCCCCTTGCGGGTCATGCCACCTATTATACACGGACCGTACGAACTCTTCCAATGTCTGGGCCTGTGCCCAGGCATCGAAGTTCTGACCGTAGCCCTGCTGCTGCACTAAGCCATTCAACCAGCGAGCTGTTGACCCTTCTAAAAAGGAGGCAGCCACTACAACTTCTTGCTAAGGCCTGGTGAGCTTGTACCTCACATAAGTAGCCACAGTCCTCACCTAGGTGTCTAAGTATAAGAAAAGATTAACACATTATGGAATTATAAAATAAAGAAGACAACGTGAGCTTTAGTATCATGGCGCCGTCATCTCCTTCAACGACGGTCTCAGCTTTACACCAGCTGCGACATACTCAACCCTTCCACTCATTCGCCACTCAGATTGAGGCATAACTTTCTACTTCCTATGCTAATTTATACTAGTTTTTACTGTACGTACAACTGGGTGCTCAACTCATAGCACGTACCACACTCCCGGTACCCGTAAGTATCAGAAACCAGTACCAAAAAACGTTTGGTCGTGCCAGCCTCACGGAGGCCGCATTCCATACTCGATACATGCGCAGACTAAGTCCGAGCAATTTCCGTCAGGATATCAGATATCTGGTCCTGTAATCGGGCCACTGCAAAGGCAGCCAAACCATGCTTCGTCTTCATATGGGCAGGAGGCCGAGATGCACGTGCTTGAATATGAAAACGACAACCAACTGCCTGCGTTGAGGCAGGTCCAAAAGGTCTCRCGGAGAGCCAGAAGTACATATTTTTGCCGCCGAAAACARTTTTCACTGCGCGGTGCAGTCCGCAGATGGCAAAAACAGTCACAATCCAAAGGATACCACACTGTCTGAGTTTGTAGATCAGATTCGCTRAAATGTCCGAYACTGCCTGGTGCGACCCAGAAAATGCATATGGGATACCCCATTGTCCAAGTTAGGACGAAGAAAAATTCAGCATTTTAATTAGGCGCGCAAGCTTACCCCATAGTGGTACGGGGTCCCTGCGTTGCATCCACTGTATACCTGCAACAACAACAGTAGTAGGGTAGGCGTGCTTTCAGAGTTCCTCCGCAAGGGATAAAACGGCACAGCAAATCAGGCCTTCGTCATCGCAGTTCTGTGAGATCCTTAGGATGGTATTGGCCATTGTGGCGAATTTAGCTGCTTTTGGGCCAAAAGATGAGAAGTCTTTAAAGGTGCGGAGTCGTAGGTCCCCAGGGGACCAAATGGTTCCGGCGTTTTTGAATTTATGAGAAGCGAGGACAAAAATAACACCGTTCGTAACGACGAGTCTGGTTTCCAAAAAATCCAGAACACCAATTCCAGGGTCAGTTCTTTCCAGGATTAACTCCGCAGGGTAACAAGCGAGAATCCGGTAAAGTCTTTCTTCAGCTTTCTCTTCTCCTTCCTGGTCATTGACACGAAAGAAAGAAAAGAGAAGGAGATCGTCTATGTACCGTTTCCCAGTTATGAGCCTAGCGTCTGTCCCGAGGGACCGAATGAACTTGGACTCTGCAAACATACACATAATACAGGCAAGTGGAGGACTTGCCCGACCACCCATAGCGAGTCCTTTCTTCTGTCTCATGATGCAGTCGGAAACAAGAAAAAAGGTGTTCTTCAATTGAAAGTTGGTGAGGGAAATTAGTTTGTTAAGCCTCAGAAACTTCCAACCTGATTCCGCGTGTGATTTCCCAAACGTTACTGACTTTTTTCGACTGTTAAATCTGAACCATTTTATTCCTCGTTCAGAAAACAGACAGACCACCCATTCAACAACGAGGCGAATCTCATTGTGTGGCAGTTGTGTGAACATTTCTTTGATGTCATACGTAGGGGCCAAGATTTTGAGGTCAACAGTTTTCTCACATCGCAGATTCACCTTTCGGATTTCATCACTCAGATCATTCAGACATCTTAGATTGAAGTGCGGGACGTGGATTTTCCTAATTAGTTCATTCAAGCCTAAGGTGTGACGGACCCGCCGGGATGGCGGTCCGTCAGGATCAAGACGAAGGGATGAGGATGGGGGAGATGGAGATGGAGCTGGAAGGGACAGCGCAGCTCCAACGCAGACTCAACACGCACGTACTCCAATCTGTGCAAATGAAGAATGCCACAAAACAGACTGCAGCTGGGGTATACCTCCAGCGGACTGACTGGACTGGACTGGACTGGCCTGGTACCGACAGCGGTACCGGGCAGGACTGGACTGGACTGAATAACCGCACGGCCTGTGGGGTCAGGCCACGGCCTGGTCCCACAGGCCGGACTGGCAAATAGCCAAATAGGCCCTGGCTGTGGGCCAGGGCAGATGAAGGCCCGCTGCACGATCCTMARACCTGTMATGGATYGCAARAGCCATAAACACGCTATCCGCAAAMGCAGCGGAACTCTGCAATAAAGAAAGCTGAGAAATCTAGGATGCGGAGCAAGCTCCATGCAGAGTCCATGCGATGCATCCTAAGCTATATAATGTCAAAAGAAAAGCAAATGTCTGGTATACATATCCTAGCTAACAGCAGAAAATGAAATGTAGTATGATACACTCCTAAAGTCCTCGAGGCAGTGGCCTCAGTGCTGAAAGGAGCAGAGCAATATGTCACAAGATAATGTCATGTCGCTGAACCACTAAAAGTGGGATGGTCTCAGAGGGGGTGAATGCAGCCTAAGAATCGAAACTCCTAAGGGCAGTCACACATGAAGGTGGGATAGGTCATCAGGCTCAAGGTAGGAGAGTGGTAGCGAAACAAAACCAATGACCCTAACAGATAGACCATCAAGGCGGGTAATGCTCGGCAAGGGTGACACCATGCAGGGTCGGCCATGAAGAGAAGGAGCCTGGAATAGGGTGGAGATATGCCTAACTGAAGGCATGCAAGGGCCGGCACTAGGGTGATGAGGGCAGTGGGTGAGGGAAACATGCACACAACTCACCGACTGGGGGAGGAAGGAGCTAGATCTGGGAGCAGGGAAGCCAAGATAACGCTACGGTCCCAATGCCTATGCGATACCAAGGGAGAGCCCAACTCAAAGAGACCCAGCTAAGTGAGAACCATCATGCGACAGATGCAAGGCAATGTACAGGGTAGGGTGGTGGCGTGAAGTAATCATGTCCAAAGTAGCTAGCCGATAAGGTAGCTGAAGTCGTCGAATCGGTCGATGACGTCGATGAAGTAGCAATCGAGTCGATGTCGAAGCAGAGCCGCAAAACGCTGACATCCTGAAGAAGAGCTGATGATGGAGTACCTGATGGTGTGAGTCAGTGGGGAAAGATGGAGGATAAGAGTGTCAGTCATCGTAACGTGAAGGGCGACGATGAGTGCGCTGTGGACGCTCGGAGGCGACCATCTGCGGCTGAGGAACGGCCTCAGAGGGAGCGGGCTCATCCTCAGCGATCTCCTCAGCCGGAGGAGGAGGAAGAGGGTCAGTCGTCTGAGTAGAAGCAGATGTCCCAGCACGACGAGCACGATCATATGCACGCACCAACATCCTGGCGTGCTGCAAGTGCTCGAGCGGCTCCCAAGTAGCCTCCTCATCAGGGTAGCCCTTCCAACGCACAAGGTACTCGATGCATGTAGGGGTATCGTCGGTAACTCGGCGTGATACGATATCGGAAACAACCAACTCCTCGTGACCGTCCACCATGATAGGTGGAGGGCACTCATAAGGGCGTCCGACGAAGCGCTCGGACGGTCTACCATAAGGACGCAGCAAGGAGACGTGGTAAACATCGTGTACGCGAGCCTGTCGAAGGTAATCAGGTAGCTTCACACGGAAGCTGACCGGACTAGCGGCAGTATCAGAGTCGACGGCCTGAAGGATGCGGCATGGACCGAAGAAACGACGCCTGAACTTGCGAAGCATATCTGCTTCGGGCTGTAAGTGGCGTGCGTCGACGAGCACATCGTCACCGACTTTGAATGGATGATCCATTCGTGATCGGTTCGCTCGTGCGGCCGTGCGAGTCTGGAAGTCGGCTAAACTCTCGTGTGCGCGCTTCATAATCACCGCCATGTGGGCGATCCAGTCGTCAAACGCAGGGCAACGAGTGTCTGGGCGCAACCGCGATGGTCGTAGGAAATCCGCAGGTACGCGAGGGTGGTAGCCGAGGTCGCAATAGAATGGCGACATCCCCGTGGATGGCGAAACAGCGTGGTTGTACGCAATCTCCGCGTGGGCCAAGTGTAAGTCCCACTGCTGGTCATCCCTAACAAACTTTCGGAGGATATTACCGAGAGTTTTGTTGGTGACCTCAGTCTGACCATCCATCTGAGGGTGGTAAGACGATGAGAAGCGGAGCTGGGATCCGTACACCTCGTGTAGGCGTCGCCAGAATGTGCTGGTAAAGCGCGGGTCACGGTCGGAGATGATGCTCTGAGGTAAGCCGTGATCTCTCACGACTCGGTCGAAGACGATGTCGGCGACCTCACGAGCGCTAATGCGATAGCGGCACGGAACAAAACGT